GTATATATGCATTTCCTGTGAAAAAAAAAAGTGCATTACTAACTCTTGTAAATAACTAAAATTATAAAATGTGCGAAACATATTTGTATGTAATTTGATAATTATGTACCCTCTCCTCTGTTATTTTATTTTTTTTTTTTTGGTTTTTTTCTCTTCTTTGTTTTTTCACTTATTTCATTCTTGTTAGGAAATGTAAAGTGATTGTATTGTATTGTATAAGAAAACTGTACATGCTGGTTCTTGTTAAAAAAAAAAAAAAAAAAAAAACTAATGCTTTAATAACCTGTGCTAATCATTCACTTACAATAGCATTATAGTTCACTATTATCCAGCAAGTTTTTACGCAGCGGATGCCCTTCCAGCCGCAACACATCTTTGGGAAACATCCACACACACACACACTCATACACTACGGACAATTTAGTCTACCCAATTCACCTGTACCGCATGTCTTTGGACTGTGGGGGAAACCGGAGCACCCGGAGGAAACCCACGTGAAGGCAGGGGGAAAATGCAAACTCCACACAGAAACTGCGCCACTGCCTCGCCACCTTCACTATTGGAATTCATAACTTGATAATCCATTGTCTGTAATATTTTTTTTGCATGAGTAAAATTTGCATTTCACAGATTTTTCGTAATAATTAAAACAATGGTAAATCTGATAAATGATTAGAAATGATCCTTATATCAGGGATTATTCATTGCAGTCTTCTTGTTTTGTTTTAATTCATTGATGCAAATTAGGTCTGTAAATCATTTTTCATTATTCTGTAAACATTAAATGAGATCTGAATCACTAACCCTAAACAAAAGAGTTTGAATTAGAAACACTCAATAAAATGAATCAGCCTTTCAGTTCAAGCCTGCTGCAGTCGCTCTTCTTGGAAAGGTCAGTGCTGATCCTTGTTCTGCAGATTCTGATGTTTTAAATCTGCTTGTGGTGTTTTATTTACATGTATATGGGTGTAGGGTCCACCCAGTTGGTCCAATGACGGTATCCAATGGTGGATGAAGGTTCACTGCATGTTCAGTCTTTCCAGTGCACAATGTTGATTTATATTAAACTTAACTCATATCTGACTCCAATTTTAGTATGAGGTGGTTTAGAATATTAATATATTTATCCTCGTTTTATCTGACTCCAATTATAAAACATTGATAAGATTATTTTGTTTCCTTTCATATTATTTTAGATTATGATTGAATATTCTTTTGATTTGTTATTATACCTTATTCTCATTTACTCAGATTCCTATAGCATCTCGAGTCTTGCACCGGCCGGGTATACAATCTCTTAATACAAGCTCGTCAGTCTTGGTCATTAAACAGAGGCGATTAACCACTCTCCTAAAGTGGCAGAACCCTATACTTACTCAATTTAGGAGATTTTTTATGTGGTCCCAATAGATCTGTTATCTACTTAATCAAGACAAAGTATTTTAATAATAATCGCACAGGATTATAAGTTTGTAGATGAAGGCCTAAATACCCACATTTAGATTAGTTTCAACAATATTTTGTTGTTCTAAATAGAAAACTCATAGTTGGCCTTTTACAGTCTAAGTATACTTGAATTAATGCCAATATGTTAGTCGGATCTCTAGCAACATTGTATAGCGTGCCACACTGCTCCGTCTAACATGTTTTAGTCCGTTACTAACCTGTACAGTGGCTTGTAGTGCTATGGACAACCACATTTATCAGTGATAATAACACGAGGACAGTTTGAATAATTCAAAACATAACAATTTATTAGTCAGGTAAATGTGTATTATGCCAATTCAATCAGTCAATTCATAAAAGATCAATAAATACATCAAGTTACCAAAGATAAATCCAAGATTAAAAGATGCATTCCTGACTTTAAAATATACATAACATGGAGCATAAGCTCCATGTTACGGGCTGATCGGGGTAAGCAGAATCGCGCTGAGCCTTTCTCAAACCTTACCTTAAGTAATCCAAGAATTCCCTCAAGGACAGGGGTGTGTGCATAACAAAAGGCACTTGCATTTAGTGCTGCCTGTGGAAAAGTCACACCCTTCACAGTGGTTCAAAAGATGCCTGAAGTTATATATTTATTGTTTTGATTATGTCTATTTCTGAGAGAATGAGACCATTGTACCAATCGCACTGAGACATTTCAAATGATATCAAACATGATAGATAAAGTCACTTAGGTTAATCTAGAACATTCAAACATTGAAATGACCATATGTGTGAGTTGGGGTGGTTGAAGCCGAGTTTCAGCAGACTCAGATGCAAATGCAGCAGGAATTGGTTTTTCCCGCATTCCCACCTGCTGGGTTGTGGTCAACAGTCTCTGTTTTCAGCTCATGTTTTGAATTGTCAAAGACATCAAAAATATTTGCAATATTTCAATTCTTACATGGGCTTATTTTTGTGATGAAGAAACCCACAGTAATGATAATAAATGAGTGGATTGTGACAGATCCACAGATGCTTTCAGATTTGTGCTCATCATCTATAAGATTTATCCTTTCTCTTTTTTTATTACAGGTTTTTACAATTGTTTTGCCACAAATTTCAGAACTTTGGTGTCAATTTTCAAAAGTCTAGACACAAAATTCACAACCTTTGCCAAAATTGTACATTTTTGCAAAACTTTTAACTCTTTTTTCAAATGCTTGGATACAACACACACAAGTCAAACATACTTTATTCATTGAACTAAGATCACCTTTTCAATATAACACAATTAAACTTCAAATTGATCCCATTTCAAAATGTAACTCAAACATTACATTTGAAATAACCATGTATTAATTTACTTCACGTGATGTTATTATCAACTGATACAAGCACTCAAAATGATGAATAACTGCTGCATTATTGTTGATGTGGGGAAACTGATGTACAATATTACATGTTTAGATGATGAAATAATCAGGATAGATCAAATGACATCAGTTACCACAGAAGATGACCCAACTGAACTACATTATCTATAGATGTCATCTTTATTCATCCTTAGTCCATATTTATGGTTTCTTTGTTCTGTGTACCACTTTTACAGACAATGTTTATATATTTGACATCACTGTAAGAAAGCCCAGTCACAGCAGACCAATGTCAGGCCTGGATTTACATTGACAGAAGGTTCTTTCCAAGATTTCTGAGTAATGAAAACACCACTGAAATGTAGAGGAGAACCCGTGACCAAATCCACAAGACCAGACTGATGGTAACACAAAATCCCAAAATAGAAATCTGATATATAGAAATATATGCAAATTACATATGTGACATAATAGTTCATATGAATTTTACATATATAAAATATGTTACACATGTCAAAATATTGCCATTTGTTAAAATATTAGAATTACAAATATGTACATATATGTTACGTATATATATATGATCCATTATGTTATATATTTTACCCCTACAAATATATATATATATATATATATATATATGATATGGTTGAAAAAAATATAAACAATGATTTTTTTTCACTATTTTGACAAATTTTTGACTATTATGACATTTTATAATAATGTAATTTGCAGATGGGACCATATATCATGCCATTATTCAGCTTTCTATATGGGGACGTGAAGTGAGAAAAAAAATACAGTAAACCTACATTATGATGGAATGAATAAAACTAGTTCAGTATATCCACTGTCTGCACTGTTTCCCTTTACACTTATAGACCATAATGAAACCTGTATCATATATTTTAAACAACAATATTTAATGATTGTTAATGATTGTTTATTGAAGCGATGTACATCTTGTGTGCAGCTGGTGATCTAAAGTAGTGTTCCTGTAGTATTTGTATTATAAAAGGATTATGTGAATCAATGATCCTACAAATGCAAGACTTCTTTAAGGGAATGAATGCTGTATGCAGAACACTGGAGAGTGTTAAAAGTAGTGACTGTTTAGGATTTTGTGTCTAGAGTTTTTTTAATTGATATCAGGGTTCTGAAACTTGTGGCAAAACAATTGGAAAAAAAACTGTAACACATAATGAAGATCAAGGGCAAACAAATAAATGATGAGCTTAGAGAGTTTTAATTCATTTTAACATACAGAGATGAACATTTGTAGAAAATACATTTTAAGGTGTTTTTAAAAAGTGTTAAATTACTTTAAAACGGAAAAACAAATCGCCAATAGGTGGCAGCAAGAGACCTCTTTAATCGAGTGAAGCTTTAAGTGATTCATTCAGCCACGAATCACTGATTCAGTGACTCGCCCGACTCTATACAGAGTCCTGAACCATTCGTGTAAGGAAACGCCACTGTGTATTATTCAGAGATGGCCAACTGTTCTGCTGTTTATTTTATTATTATCATTGTAATGATTTTACTATTATTAATGAGAAAATAACGCGGAAGTTTTTAGCGCCTCGTCACGTGATCGTCAACATCCATGGCAACGGTTCTTTTTGTGTTGTTTTGAACTTCGCTCATTGGCATCTGATCTCGGCGTCCTTCGTGGCTACTGATTCCCAGATTATTGATATTATTGATTGTTGGATACATCGATTGATCGTCTGCTTCTCCCATCATTCAGGTTTGACCCTTGTTATCACACTGTGGTTTGTATTCAGTATGTCTTGTGTTCATTACAGGTTTCAGAGTCGACTCTCCTACGACTCGCTCCAGTTTGAGGGCCTCAACATCACTGCGGGAGAGCTGAAGCGGCAGATCATGAGGCGCGAGAGGCTGAATTTCTGCCAGCTGAAGATCAGCAAAGCCCAAACTGATGAAGGTGAGATGAGGAAAAGCCACTTAAACTATAATACACTAACATTAGATGTGTTATCAGACAGACTTGTAGAAGCTGTGATTTATTATCATGACTCTGATGGTGACATATAGTGATGTTTTGAGTGTTTTAAAATGCTAATGGCACTCAAAGTATACTATGGTAAATGATTATTAATATATAAACTTTATTTTGCTGTCAGAATACACAGATGATGATGCTCTCATCCCCAAAAACACATCTGTCATCATCAGACGGGTCCCTGCTGCTGGACTGAAGTCATCAAACAGAAGATTTGTTGGGTAAGTCATGTGAAATAAGCGCAATCGTCCTCTGATAGATGTTATATCAAGAGTTTGAGTCTGTCTGTGGTGTTTTAGTCACACAAGCTCCTTTGTTTTGCAGACATCAAGCTGGACCATCAGCTAAATCTTCTCAAACAGGTGATTCTTCACTCCTCTCACTGGAGCAGCTGTTGAAGGTATTGAACAAATGATTAATTCACCCCACTGTGCTGCTCTGTATTGAACTGCAGTGTTTGCATTTGAGGAGTCATAATGACATGTAGTGCAGAATATCAATACTCAGTGTAAAACACCCCCCCCCCCCACACACACACACACAGCTTCTTAAACAGACCAGTAAAATAAAATTCTAATGTGCAAATGCCTGTGAAACAGACTGAGAATTTGGCTGAGGCAAAGGCATCAGAGGAGGACAAGCTAAAAGCGGTGATGTACCAGTCCAGTCTGTGCTACTACTCCAGCAGGTGAGCGTTCAGACACTGACAGGTTTGGTTTGTGAGAAATGTTAGAGCTGATTCTCATGGTTCTGATGTTCCTCAGTGAGGCCATGACACTGCTTGGGCTTCTTCCACCCAACTATGTCTGCTTTCACTGTGGGATCCCAGGACACCACATTAGGCACTGCCCCTCTAAAGGGGTAACTGGGTTTTCTAAGCTTATGGTTGCTGTGAACTTGAGCTCTCGTCTCCATCAGTCAGATTGTTTGCTCTGTCGTTTGACTGTCACTCATGAATTCACAGGGCAGCAGCTCTGCTCCACACAAGCGCATCCGGAGGAGCACAGGGATTCCCCGCAGCTTCCTGTTGGAGGTGGACGACCCAAACCGAAAGGGAGTCATGATGGACGGCAGCGGCAAATACGTCATTCCCATCATAGACGCGTGAGTAAACTGTACTTGGCATTGCAGCATGTTTTAGTGTTTGTGAAAATCTCACATTATGTCTGCTTGTGTGTGTTTGCGCTCGATCTGTTCAGTGAGGCCTATGCTGCTGAGAAGAAAAAGAGGCCGTCCTTCTCCTGCCAGACCAAGCCGCTGCCCTCCTCTTCCTCAGCTGGTGCAGCATCTTCAGTCCAGGACGCCAGAGGGAAACGTTCCCGCTCCCCATCTTCACCAGAGACGCACGGCGACCAGAAGAGACCCCGTCATTGAGAGACCTTCACCCAAGAGACCTGGAGCCGACGTGAGCACAGTGTATATATTGTACATAGTTTATGAACAAAACTGAATAAAGATTTTAGCAGCATAAACTGTGGACTGGTTGACCTTCACACAATACAGAAACACAAAAGAAAATGATCGACACATTAAGATAGAAATGATGAACAAACATGCTGCGGGAGAACCAGTGTGCTGTCCTGCTCACAATCTAAAACTTTTAGTTAAAGTTTATTTCAGAGGTGCTTCAGGGAAACTTTTTCTTATGAAAGGCCAAAAACTAAACTCGTCTGAGGGTGGTGAGCTGGAGGTAAATCTACCAAACTGTAAAATTGTCAATGTAATTTCCAAATTTATTATTATTATTCATTATATAATTTACATGATTCACTGAATACTGTAATTTACAACATTTCAAATTCTTTAATTGTATTAATAATTATACATTTTATAATGAATGAAAGTCTTACAATAAAACATGAACAATCCCATTTATAACACCTAAAATACACTTTGCCTTCGCTTGCTGATGTCTTCTGTAATGTCTGCTCTCCTTCAAGTGACTATTATTTTATTTGATTCATTCACAACATTTCATTGAAACATTTAATTTCAGTTTGTTTATTTTTGTATCTCAACAGTTAAAAAATAAAGTTATGTTGGATTAGAAATGACAATCTCTGTTAAAGACTTTCCCCCAAAACTCCCCATCATTCTCCCTCTCTTCTCAGATGGGATGGGGGGCCAAATCAAAGGTTACCGTGGATCCACTTTGGCCCACGGGCCCTAGTTTGGGCATCTCTGGTTTACACCGATGACATGCTCATCTAATCAATCCTGGCCAAACAAAATGTTGCAGCTCATCTGGTCTTCAATGATCCCAAGAGAGCCCACGTCACACCTCTCTTACCTCTCCACTTACACTGGCTGTCAGCTGAAGGTTCAAAACATCTCCACTTGCTACTTGCTACACTTGCCCCTGTGTCCAGAAGTGAGCACTGCCTCTTAGAACCATGCCATCAAGGATTTGGGGGTGTTTAACCCTTTTGTGCTGTTGGTGAAGTTTTGGTCCACTCTGGGCTGATTTTGAGGCTTAATTTACCAACAACTTTCTCTGTGGTTCAGCAAATGGGATGATTTTTGGTGACAAAGTCTTGTTGACACATATTTTGGGAAAATACTTTTAGAATTTTTTAAAAACTCAACAATACACTCTGAGCAAATTTATCACCCTTTCATTGTGTTCATGGCTGTTTTTGCCCAAATGATTTCCATTATTTTTAAATGCAACGTCATGACAGCGTATAATCATGCATTCTTGATTGTTGGTGGTTTTTCCTGTTGGGAAGAGGTAAGATTTGTGATTTTTGCTGGTGATCATCAGTTACAGTTCAAAAAAGCTTGATTTCTTGCTTTTATTTGGTGTTTAGTGAGTGTGTGAGGTTGTAAGAGAGACTTTTACACACATATATTGATGTGTAGGAGAAAATACAAAATAGGCACCTCAGCTGTCAGAACATAGTAAACATAGTAAGTGTACTTATGCATGTACTCTATAAATTGCAGTTTTACTCCACAGAACTCCATATAAAAATCAGACACGCTTTTGTACGGGGCAATGTAAAGTATTTAATGGTGCCAACTGATGATCAACAGTAAAAATGAAATTTGACCTCTTCCTAAGTGGGAACCCACTAACCAGAGTTGGTGCTGGTCAAAAGGAGACCCTAAGATAATTTTTACTGCGGTGCTTCAGCAGAGAAACAAAAACACACAAACATATGTATTTAAATGTGTATTCATTTATTATATATAAAAATATGCATATAAACACGCAACATTAAATGTTTCATAAAATAACAGTTTACGTCAAACACTGACATGTCTTCTGCAGAAGGATTCCTAATTGCAAACATTTACAAAGGTTGTCATAAAACCCTGTCTGAAGCTGTAGAGATAGACGGTCCTCGGTGCTGCATGCTGTATCTGTAACGGTCAGCTGCTGGGCCCGGTTTTTCAAAAGGTTTAATCCGGATCAAATTGATCCAGATTTAGTAATTCTGTTTTTGCGATCCTTGATCACGTAATCCAGCTTACTTTTTGAGCCAGTTTTTCAAAGCAACATCGAATTGGATCAATCTGATCCGGATAGGAACTTTTCAGGATCACTAAATCTGGATTACCAGTGCTCAAACAGGATAGGAAATCATTATCCAGATTTTTTGGATCAAAATGATCCAGATCCTACAAAAAAGATCTGGAAAACCCAAACTAAAGGTTTGATCTGGATCAAAACCAAGATTAGATTACGTGATCTAATCCGATTATGTAATTCGTTTTTTCTTTTAAAAAAACAATTTTCAAGATTTGATCCAATCCCTTATCCAAAATCCTAGTGGATTACTTTTAAAAAACCAGGCCCTGGGCCCGTTTTTTCAAAAGGTTTAATCCGGATCAAATTTATCCAGATTTAGTAATTCTGTTTTTGCGATCCGTGATCACGTAATCCAGCTTACATTTTGAGCCAGTTTTTCAGAGCAACATCGAATTGGATCAAACTGATCCGGATAGGAACTTTTCAGGATCACTAAATCTGGATTACCAGTGCTCAAACAGGATAAGAAATCACAATGTAGAACTATAGATATGTAAAGAGCGACAAGTAGAATAGCCAGCGTGGGGTCAACATAACTTTATTTTTTTTAAATGAAAACTTAATAAATATTAAATTAATAATAATAATAAATAAGAAAAACAAGAAAAACAACACCGCATCCTCTTCCAGCATTCCACTCATCTGAGACCTAAAACACTGTACATTGAGGATATTTATAATAAGTTTCAAATATAGATGTAAATAAAAAAAAGACTTAATGTCAAAAACTCCACAATAATCTCAGACTTCCTCATCTGATGTGGAGAGAGCAGCTTGTCTGAGCGTAGCTTTTAGGAGGCGGATCTCATGTCCTTGGCCTTGGTTTGCTGCAGTTTGGTCAGAGTCAGTTGTTCCCCCGCCAGACGAAGCTGTGCTTCTGCCCTTTCAGTCTCTTTTTGCAATTGTTGAAAGAGATTTAAAAAATCAGTCATTGCCATTCTTTGCATTTTTTGTTTATTCTGTAATCATTGCATGCATCACTAATAAATATTCTAAAAAGAAAAATATTTTTCATTGTGATGAATATATATATCAATTAGAGACAAAATAAAATTGATTGTTTTTGGTCAATTTTCACAGCTGTTTGGGGGATTATTTTATGAGGCCAAACTCTTTCTACGTTGCTGGAGGCCTATACTGAAAGGCTAAATACATTAAAGCCAATAATCACTATAGCCTGACGGATGAACAAATAAAATTAAAACCTTATGAATAAATAGTATATATCGTAAGATACTGCATGATCCAAAAATAGTATTATTTAATACATTTTTTAAGTTTTCATTACATTTTAGGCATGAAATCCACGCTAAATCCACCCTTCTGATGGGATCAGTTTAATCCAGGTTTTTTGGATCAAAGTGATCCAGATCCTACAAAAAAGGTCTGAAAAACCCAAACTAAAGGTTTGATCCGGATCAAAACCAAGATTAGATTACGTGATCTAATCCGATTAGGTAATCCGTTTTTTTCTATTGATAAACCCATTTTCAAGATTTGATCCAATCCCTTATCCAAAATCCTAGTGGATTACTTTTGAAAAACCGGGCCCTGGGCCCGGTTTTTCAAAAGGTTTAATCCGCATCAAATTGATCTGGATTTAGTAATCCTGTTTTTGCGATCCGTGATAACGTAATCCAGCTTACTTTTTGAGCCAGTTTTTCAAAGCAACATCGGATTGGATCAATCTGATCCGGATAGGAACTTTTCAGGATCACTAAATCTGGATTACCAGTGCTCAATCCCAATGTAGATAAATAGATAGGCCTGTGTAAAGAGCAACAAGTAGAATAGCCAGTTTGGGGTAGATATAACTTTATTTTTATTTAAAATGAAAACTAAGAAAATTTAATAAATAATAAAAT